GGGGGGTAGTAGCACTATATGTTGCAACGTCGCACCGCGTCAACCCCCTCCACCGCCACCCCCTTCGTCTCGCAGCAGCGCCCAGGCAGCGCCCCGCGGCAGGGCCGGCAGGGCGACAACAGGCAGGGCTGCACCGGGAGGCTGTCTGTCTGCCCGCCTGAGCCGTGTTGTCAATCAGCGCCAATTTACAGACGGGCGGATCGGCTGCTCTGGGAGCGCGGGATCGGCGTTTTTCAGCTCGACCGAAGCTTCGGCTGAGGAGAAGCCGGGTAACATATTGTTCAAGGTGTCTCTCTCTCACCCGACCGAGACCTGCTCCGGCGGACTCGGCTGGCCGTTGCCTGGCCCCCGCCGGCTTGGGGGACGCGAGGAGACGGACAGGTACGGCTTCCTTTCATACACAAACGTAGAGGAATTTGGAGGGAGGGGGTGGGTGGCGGCTCCGGCCTCGGCCCGCCGGCCTAATCCCTGGCCGGGTGCGGGCGAGACAGACACAACGACACCGTTCGCACCGGCATCACTGGAAGCATTCGCCGAGCCGTGTTCTATTGAGTGCTCGAGGCTCGGTGACCCGGCCGGCTCCTCCTGTGTCGGGGTCAGGTCGGCCCGCCACACATGCCCACCGCCGTGTCGGGCAGGTGAGGGTACTCCCCCGGCCCTGTCCTCCCCGAGGGCAGATGTGCAGCCCCACACACCCGCCCCCTGCAGCCGGGCCGTCGCCGCCGCCCGCCGCCGGCACCTGTCGCTCTGCGATCGGGCCGCGAGATTTTGTTGTGCCCGTCACACCGACTTGTCACTCGGTCCGGCTGTGCCCGTCACACCGACTGTCACTCGGTCTGGCTGTCGCCGATCGGTCAGCGCGACGCCCGCGGTGTGGGCCGCCGGAGAGAAGGGGTGAGCCCGCGGCCGGGGGAATATTACAAAGTTGATGCTAATGCGCGCGCGAGAGAGCGCTGAGCGGAGGGGAGGAGGTTGGGCGGGCTCCGCGCCATGTGTGTGTGTGTGCCTCGCCCGCCGGCCGGCTCGCCACCACCACCACCGCTTCCCCTCCGCACCCCAACAAGCAGCACCAGCACGGCGACGCCTCGGGACGGGCGGGACGCCTCTCCCCGCCACGCCACCTTCTCGTTCGACAATCGACAGTTGCCTCTCTGGACGAGGGCGTCATGCCCTACTTGAGGGGCGTGGGCGGCCACCAGCTGCCGGGCGCAAAGACACAACTGTTGATTGCAGCCCAAGGCCCGGCCCGGCCCGGCCAGCTCTGGGCGAGGCCGCCGCGGCCCGCCCGCCACTTGGAGCCCGTCGTCTTGATGTCGTGCACGACATGACAAGGGACCTCCCCCGCTGAACTCCAATCAGCCCGCCCCTTAGATGGCGCCTGACTGACCCCGAGGCGGGCTGTGCTGCCGTGGGCTCTCTGCCCGACAAGGTGTCGTCGCCGACGACTGGAATGCGGGCATCCCGGCTGCAGACCTGGGGCGCCACTACCGAGGTCGGGGACAGCCCTCCGGTCGGACCGGGACGTCGGCAACGTGCGTTTTCGACTGCAGATCTTTGCGCAACTGGGTTGACTTTGGCCGAGAGCGGCGTTGACATAGTCGCCAGTGCCCTCCTCACGCCAACGCCAGGCCCTCCGCAGGTGCTCCGGGGAGGCGACCACCAGGATGTCACCTGTTCGCCATGCCCGCCCCGGGGTGCCCGGTGCCCAGGATGCACTGGACGGCGTGCTCCGGCGTGGGCGGTGCGCGACGTTGAGCCGGTAAGCTGGCAGGGGGCGTGGGCCCGCCACCGCTGGTGTCCCGGAGCGCTGGAGGCTAAGTCCCGTTCGGGACTTCCCTGACGCGGCCACCGGCGGCAGGGCTCGGGGCTGCTCGCCGGTACCGCCCCCGCGACGAGCAGGTACCTGGCGGCGCCCCCGACGACATATCACTGACACCCGCCACCACGACGAGGCTTGACACCGGTTTGGTTGGCTTTTGTTTAGAGTTGGTGGTATCTACCTGTAAGACGTGCTGTATCCCAGCATTGGGGACTAATCTCATAGATCCTCCATGAATCCGCAGAGGGGTGAAGTGTAATCCATCCGGAGAGGCGAGGTTATCAGTTTGAGTTGCACTCAACAATCACTTAGTTGGCTGTTTTGCACACACACAACGGTCACTCACTCACTGCACTGCACACTGACTCGCGCGAAACACGCGTTTCGCTCAACGACGAAATATCCCAAGTGTCTTGCGGTGGCGTCAAAGCTCACTCGCTCGGTGCGTTTACGCGGAGGACACAATGTTTCTGTGTTTACGTGGATCGCATTGTGGATCGCGGCACGAGGCTCGCTGTGCGCCGCTGAGCGCGCTGAGCGGCGCGTCTGGTTCGGGCGCGCGACGAGCAGCGACTGTGGTGGGCACTGTGGGCCTCGCCTCGACTTGGCCGCTCCGGCTCGGCTCCGCCCGATCCTCATGCCCGGCGCGGATCGGCGCAGCCCTGCTCGGCTCGGCTCGAGAGTCGGGTCTCGCCTCGCCCGCAGCCTAGGCGAGGGCAGCCCCTGCCTGCTTGCGTTGCCGCCATCCTGCCATCCGCCCTGCCCCGCCCCGCCCGGACCGGCACCGTCCCTCCCCGCGCCACACCGCGCCGGCCACCCGGCCGAGGCCCGCGATGACACCGGCTCGGCACGGCTCGGCACGCTCCGGCTGCGCTCGGCGCGCCCACGACTCGGCTCGGCTCGACTTCGGCTGCGCTCGGCTTCGGCGGGGCGGCGAGGGGACCAGCACTGTTCATGCTCGATCGGGGCCGTCCCGGCCCGACCCGTCCGTCGCCATGCCTGCCTCCACCCCGCGGCTGGGCCGCCTCGCACCCCGTGCCTGCCGACCGCCCGCGCCCCGCCTCGGCTCGGCCCGGCGGCCCGTGGCTCGGCCTGGCGGCCCGCTCGGCTCGTCACGCACTCGCCTGGACTGGGCTGACCTCGGCTCGGCTCGGACCAGATGGCGCGCCGGGCCGGGTCGCTCTGCAGCCTGGATGTGTGTGTGTGTGTGTGCGTGTGTGAGTGTGTGCGGACGAGCGCGTGCGTGCGGGTGGGGGTGTGAGTGAGTGCCTGCCGCCCCGCCACAGGGCAGGCTGCTGCTCGTGTCAATGTGGGCAGTCCTGCTCGGCTCAGCTACCCATCCATCTAGCTGCCTATATATTCCTCTGTTGTCACGTTGTCACTGCTTGCTTACGCTTGTGCGATACCTTAATAAACTATGCATAATTAATCGCCTGCATAATGTGCCGATACGGATTTCAATGCTCATGTCAATCGCCATTGTTTCACGTACAGTATTCATCTCCACTGGACAAACACGGAACCATACACGATGCCGAGCTGCAAATAATTTCGCCAACTCTTGGTCATCGCGGGCGTGACTCGTCGTCGGGTGGCGTGTCCTGCGTTTTGCCTGACACTGATATCGATCGCACTACTGGCCGTGCTCAGGGCCGAAATGTGGATCGAAACACAGCAAACCCGACGGGCGGGTCAGCTGGCGGTGGAGCAAACACAGTGCCAGCCATTTCCGCACTGGGCGCTCTTAATCACGCGACGCCCGAGGCTGCAATCACGCGACGCCATCATCGATGACCAGCCGATCAGACAGGAGTACGGAGGGCCGCCTTGGGGCTGCGGGGGCTGATCTACGGCAGGTTGCCTACACAGACGGGCGGATGCGAATCCTTCTTAGAGGCGAAACATGACTCATTTTCGTAGGGGGAGGAGGCGGTATTTATGACAAATAACCCCGAGTTAATTTTTTCGGTTCCTTTATTTTTATCCGACCTCAATTAAAGGGCTTTGGACAAGCAGTATCTAACCCCTTAAAATGACGAGGCAGCCGGCACGCCACCGCCACCACCAGCAAGCAGCGCGCTCGATGGAAGAGATCTCCCTCCGCCACGCCGGGCCACGCTGCCACAGCCCCCTCCGAGACTGCTGCTGTTGCTTGGAGAGCACAAAAGATGTAAAACTCCACAAAGAGCCGGAGTAAAAGACCTATCCAAAGAACTCGACGACGCACGGGGGCAGCAGGGGGCGGCAGCCAAAGGGGCGGGGGAGCGGCCGTAAGCAGGCAGATGCAGGGCGCTGGTGGTTGCCGGCGTCTGACGACGGTGGGAGCTGCAAGGAGGGGCGGCTGCTGGAACGCCTGGAGGGATTCTCTCTCTCCCCGCGCGCGCGCGCGCCCCCGCAGGGGCGCCCTGCTCCGCCAGCTCCGCCCCGGCGCAGGCTTCCTGCCGCTGCCATGGCCATGCGCTGGAATGGGAGGAGAGGGTGATTATGACGTCCCTGGTTTATTTTCGTCCCCGACACGACATTGGGGGTCTGGATGGTCTGGGCTGCGCCCCGGCTGGGCGCTGGCTGCGCCTGGTGGTGAAGAGCTGCTGTCGGGGGGGACCGCCTAGCTTGGTCTATCTGGCCTAGCAGCGTCGCGCCCGCCTCCTGAGGAGGGGGAGTGTGGTCCCACAATGGGGGGCTGAGCACGAGCCGCAGTGTGGGGAGAAGTGTGGGTCCTGCAGCCACCGCGCTGAGGGGCCGTCCGTGACGCACCCACACGCAGCCAGCCAACAAAGCTTTTGGAATCAGATCGCTCAGCAATTACTAGTGTGCTAAAGCGGTTGACGAGGATCACGCGATGACGTTCCACACAAGTCACGGGTGGTTTTTGAGGGTCATGCGATGTGAACTGATGTCGTCGTTATAACGCTCGTTGAGGTTGAAGATCAGATGCATAGATAACGCCGCTGCGCCGGCGGCAAACAGTACCTCCGCTCTCTAGCAATGGATCGATAGCTAAAAGAGAAATCGGCAGATAAAGTGGGGGTGTGAGTAAGCGTGAATACCCAGAACCTGAATATCGCGCTGACGCCGCTCCGTGAGTGGACGAGGCTCTAGGCGAATCGCCTCGCAGCCCTGTCAAGTGTCAAGCAATAATGAAATTATAGCCTCAGCGATTTTCCCATAGAAGCTTGCCCCGCCCGTCTCCGCCCGGCTCGTGTCTCTCGCTGGGTCCTGCCGGACGGCAGCGCACGCCGTGCCTTCCGGCCAGGGACTTTATAATCGGCGAGCTCCCGCAAGGCCAGGTGTCACCGCCCACCTCGGCTGTACTGCTGGCGCCGCCCTGTCGCCTACTGCTGCTCCCGCGCGCCCGCCGCCACGCCGCAGGCCCGCCGGCCCGCCGGCCCCGGCGCAAGGACGATCGCAGACAATTTTCGAGACTTTTTCGCTGATCGTGTAGGATATACGTGGCGCGTAGCACACACACTACCTGTTCCGCCTTGTGTGTGCTCGCGTGCACGTGTACTTACTTACACTGTGAGCAAGTATACCGCGCCGCAGGCAAATGGTCTCCCCGCCGTTCCTCGCGCACGCCAACGGGGGCCACGGAAAATTCGGAATCGAGTGTAGGGACAAAGCGATGAAATTCGACTTAAAATAGGAAACGCCCTCTCTTCGAACCTCTCCTCTTCTCCTCTCGTGTGTGAGCTTGAGGAGCGCTGCGCCTGACACTGATGAACGACTCACTATTCCTCTCTTGCGCTCGCGCCCCCTTTTCCCTATCTCCCTCTCTGTCCCTCTCGCACGCGGGGCCCGCGCTCTCCTCACTACTTCCCCTCCCCAGCTATTTAAGGATTTCTTTTGAATTCGAGACTCTAACTCAACGGCATTTGTACGATTCCATTGCTACACAGCGCGGCCGGGGCGGCGGCGGGCCGGCGCCCGACCGAACGCCACTTAATTTTCTTTGTCCTTTCCTTTCCCCCCCCCAGCTGTGTACATACATTTATCCCGTCTCGCGGGGTGGCGCGCGGCCTGGCGTGGCGCGGGTTCTCCGACTGGGGCCGCCCGGCCCGGTGCCGTCGCTATCAGCCGGCTGCACTGATAAGCGTCCGCAGCGCGCGAGCGTCCGCAGCAGCCACCACCCCCCACTCCCCCCGCGGCCGCAGGTGAGCCGCGCACACGTCCGCGACCAACCGGGCGCATCCCGATCGGGGCGCCGCGGCGGTCGCGGGTCGCGCAACCCGCGAGCAGCAGCAGCAGCAAAAGCAGCAAAAGCAGCAGCAGCAGCAACAGCAGCAACAGCAGCAGCAGCAGCAGCACCAGCAGCACCATCATCACCACCAGCAGCAGTGCCACTAGTAGCAGCAGGTGCTCCCCCTCCTCGGCTAGCTCCAGCAAAAGCGTAGCAGAAAGCAGCGACAGCAAGCAGCAGCACCATACCACCAGCAGAAGCACCACCACCGGCAGAAGCCGCACCAGAGGCAACAGCAGCAGCAGTAGTAGCACGACCACCACCTAGCACGTGCAGCAGGTGCAGCGGCGGCAGACCGCTGGATAGATTTGGGCGCAGAGCTGCTTATCACGATAGCCCTGGGCCACACTGTCGGCTGCGCCGCCGCTGCGCCGCTGCACACGGTGGACAGGTAGCGGGCACGCAGCGGTCAGTAGAGCGGCCTTGCGCCGTGCATGGCCGTGCGCAGCTCGCGGGTCCGTAGGGACGCTGCGCCCGCTGCGCACTTAGGTGAGGTGCACGTGCAGCGTCCACGTGTGCGCGGCCGAGGAGAGGCTCCATTAAGGAAAACAACCACCCGATTTAGCCTTAGCGCGCCGCAAAGCGATCGGGCGCGCCGGCGGCGGCGAGAGCGCCACGAGCTCCGAAAAAAAATATATGACAGACGTGCGCAGCACACCACATAATAAACAGGTGACATTGGACTATGTTCGAATGTCGCTTAAGGTGCTCTCGAGACGCTGTGCTGGCGAAGACGAGGAGGAACCAGGCAGTCGTCGTCGAGGTGGTTCAAAGGTTACAACAGCGAGACAGCGGCGGCGGCGGCGGAGGGGGCCGCGGGCGGCACGGCCTGGTGTTGCGTAATTGACGGCTTGGTGACACTGCTCGTCCTCGGCGTGTCCAGGCTGCGCGGCGGGCTGCGCGGGCCCCGCGGGTCGGCACCATGGGCGCGGCGTGCCGGGCTCCGCCGGGCTTATGGTAAGGCGGTGTGCCTGCCATGCGCGACGTTGCCAGGCTAGCCATGAGGCACGCCATGAGGCCATAGTCCAATGCCTCTGTCCTGTCGCGCGGGCGAGCGCGGCGTGCGCACTCACTCCCACTCGCACGGGGACAGAGGGGTCGGCCGCGGGAGCGAGCGAGAAAGAGGAGAGGGAGAGAGAGAGAGAGAGAGAGAGAGAGAGAGAGAGAGAGAGAGAGAGAGAGAGAGAGAGAGAGTGTGTGTGAGCGGCGCGCCGCACTGTACACAGGCAGATCCACTGGATCGCGCTGCTTCGCTGCTTGCTTGGCTTTTGGCTTCCTGTGTTCGTTCGGGCACTCGGAGCCCGTGTATGTGCTTCACTTGCGCCGCCGCACCAACACTGCGCCACCTTCCTGACGTCAC